TAGTTTGGAGGTTTCACAAGCATGAAGTGTTTCACAGGCAACCAGATATACAGGAGGGGTTTATTAGCAGGAAAGCATGGTATCTATAATAGAAACTACTCTAGTTTCATTTTTAATAGGGAATTATACATTTTAATGCCCAAGCTTCCTTGTGGTTCCTTTCTACAACAGGTTAAGATTTGTGACTTTATTTTGAAACACTTGACTGCTTTGTTTCAGAGTTTATTATACTTGTACATCAAAAAGGATTGATATATGTAAGATGAATTGCCACTAGTTGATGACACATCAGCTTTATTATATAACAAAACTACTGTCTCGAGCACTAAGTGCTTTGCATACACTAATGTATATTCTTGCCAAGATATGGCCACAAGATATGCCCATTTTATACTGGAGAAAACAACATGATTATAATTTAGCTTGCACATCGCTTTAGAATAAATAAGTGTTGGTCATGATGTTTAAATCCAGCAACTACGACACTGGAAGATTTTAGCTTTGTACTCCAGTATGTGCTTATTGAAGACTGGAAATAACTTCATTAGTGCTCTTCGGCTACCAAGAAAAGATCTGTTTCTAAGACGCCAGCCCCTCCCCATTCAAGTTTTAGCACTGAAGTGTACTCCTGGAACCCAGTCATCATTGACATCTCTAGTGGATTACAGAAGGAGGAAAGGGGTATGTGGTTGTATGTTAATAGTAGCATGCTTTAAATAGCCAAATGCAAGTGACTGTCACACTTAGGAAATTTGCCCCTTGAATTACTTTTGGGGCAAGAAGTTTTACTAGTTGGACCAGACTTCAGTGTCTCCACAAAAATTCTGCTTGAGAGACTCTTGCAAAAGAACCCTAGAAGCTTCCTGTCCTCCCAATCGTTTCAGCTAAAGTAAGTCAAGGATCCAAGGCCCAACTTCACACCTTCGAAGCCAGAGAGGACTTGCCTCTCAGTAGGCAGAAAGGCCCTCTCTGCTGGAAACTTTCCCTTTCTCCACCCTATTTCCATCTGAAGTGTGAAAAATCTCCCATTCTAAATAGCCTTTTGGTCATCCACGGGATTTCCTCGCTAGTAGTCACATAATATTCATAATATTTAGGAGTAGCTACGGATTGGTTAGCGCAGTCACCTGATTAGACACAAAAGCCGTAAACACACATTGTTTTACGGCCAGGCACTTTGCTCTCCTGAGCTTTACAACACGCAGTGTGTCAGGCACACCTGGTTTCCTGCACGTGGGAAGTTAAAAGGTGTCAACAGATCTCAAAGTTCGCTGTTGGCTGCCAGACGTCTAGGTGGACGCCTAGCGGCCTGTTGGTGGATTTCTGAAGCTTCTGCAAGCCGATGTGGCCGTTTCTTCATCAAAATACGTAAGTTTTGAGTATCTTAGACCCTTTTAAACTATTTTTTGTCATGGATAGATATGTGAGAGTGTATTAATATGGAAAACTGTCTTCTGAAGTGTCTGAGGCCCTCCGGGCTGAGGAGATTTGTTTGTTGGGAATGGCAAATCTGTACTTTATTACCTCAGATATCATAAGCTCTGTAGTTGGGTGATTCCAATACTTTTTATAAAATTTAGCTCTCCAGACCACCAGCGCTTGTCATCTATTAGTAGCCTCGATAACTGCTTTTTGGTTGAAGACAGTAAAACCTTCTCGTTTGATTGTTAGTGGGGAAGAAAGAAAAAGATGGAGAGAGGTATCCAGGAGGCCTTCCGGAGTATTGTGCTTATTGTTTGCTTTCCAGTGGGTAGATGTGTCATCCCGGAAAGATGTTAAGATGTCTGGATCCCTGTAAGACCCAGTAGTTTCAAGATATGCTTCTGGGACTGGCTGAGTGCTGTGTGCTCCTTGGATTAAAAAAAAATGTGGGCAGGGGCTCTAATCTGTTAGGAATCATTTGGCTCCCTCCTGTCCAGATTCTCTCTGAATTCCTCCCGTCTACCGTTGTAAGATGCCATGTATGTTGTTAAGGAAGAGTAGAATGTTGATTTCAGCCCATTCAGTCAATGGGATAAGCGGATGCAATGTACTTTTCCAGATTTGGGCTGATTTGGGGTTTTATAACATTGAAAGGCCTAGATGCTATAAATTACATTTTGTGTTTTTAAGAAGTCTTAGAATAAAAGTTTGTTTTCAATTTTCCTAGTCATTGTGATGTCATAGGTTGATGGTAAGTGACTCCTTAATTTGGTTGTGTGTGAGTTTATAAATTATATCTCTCTGCCTTGATTTGCCTTTTTGTATTTTAAAGAATTATTAGGAAAAATATGCTTTTTAGTCATCCTAATAAATGTTAGTTATGCCTTATGGGATAAATGGATAGAACATAAGTTGTTTTTTTGCCTGAAGTGTATCAATCTGGTTACTGTGTTTTACCTTGTGTTTCTTTATGAAATCATAGGGTCAAACATAAATTTCAGTCATCCTAAAGCTATCCTTTATGGGATATGTTCTTGTAGGTGACACTTGATTTGGTCTACTTTGAGGTTTTTTTTAACATAGAAAGATAAAGCTGTTGTGACTTACATTTTATGTTTTTAAGAAGTTTTAGCATAAAGGTAGTTTTCAGCTATCCTGGTCCCTTTCAGCTATGCCTTATGGGATAAGTTGGTTGCAGGTGACTCACCTAGTTTGGTTTGTGGGAATTTGGCCTGCTTTGAGATTTTCTTTTTCTTTTTAGTTTATTTTTTCTTTTTTTTTTTTTTGGAGACAGGGTTTCTCTGTGTAGCTTTGGAGCCTGTCCTGGAACTCACTTTGTAGAACAGACTGGCCTCGAACTCACAGAGATCCACATGCCTCTGCACCCCAAGTACTGAGAATAAAGGCATGTTCTACCATCTCCTGGCATGATTTAAGATTTTTTAATATAGAAAAATGTAGGTGTTTTGACTTATATTTTGTGATTTTAATACCTTTTTTAGTGTAAAAATTAGTTTTTATCATCCTGGTCACTGTAAGCTATGCCTTGTGGGATAAGTGGTTAGCAGGTGACTCTCCCAGTTTATTCTGTTTGGGTCTTTTATAACCTGGAGATATCTGTCTTGGTTTGCTTTATGTACTTCTAAGAAGTCACTGAATAGAACAGTTTTAAGCCATCCTGCCCACTGTGATCTATGTCTTACGGGATCAACTGGAGGTCTTTGACACCCCTCTCCCATTTTGGTCTAATTGGAGCTTTTGTAACTTGAAATTTACCTACCTGCCTTTTGTGATTTGCCTTGTAGATTCTTAAGTTTTATGGTAAAAAGTATTTTTTGGCATCCTGTTCACTGTGAGCACTGCCTTATGGGATAAGTTGATGGAAGGCGATAGTGTGGATTTTGGCTGTTTTGGTTTTTTTTTTTTTTGAGGTTTAGCAAAAGGGTGGTTTTATTTTTCTCATTTTTATTACATTCTTTTAGAGTTTCATACAATGAATTTTGATCATGTTCACAATCCTTCCCAAGTATTTCTCATCTTGCTGTTGTAATTTGCTGTCTGTGTCTTTAAGAAGTCTTGGGTAAAAGCTAGGCTTTAGGCCATCCTAATCATTGTCAACTACATTTAACGAAATATGTTCATGCAGATTATTCTTCAAATTTGGCCTCATTTGTAGTTTCATATCTTAGAAATTCCTGCCTGCTGTGATTTGGCTTTTGTGTCTCTATAATTTGTTAATGTAAAAGATTTTTTGAGCCATGTTTGTTAGTCATTGTGAGTTATGCCTTATGTTGTTGGCAGGTGACTCTCCTAATTTGGATTGTTTTGAGGTTTATAACTTGGAGTTTTCCTGATGCTTTGATTTGCCTTGTGTGTTTTTAAGAAGTCTTAGAATCAAAGTTATTTAGTACCTTCTGATACTTGTTTTGTTCTGATTAGAGATAAGTAGGAAAACATTGTATTATGTTGTCAAACAACCGGCTGACTTCAGCAGCTCTCTAAAGAGGGCTATTTAGAAAGTAGTGAAGTATTTTCCGATCTGTAAATCCTGTTTTCTAACTTTTTACCCACTATTTCTTCTTATAGGAACTTTTATTCTAGAAGTACTTGTACCAATGCAAGACTGTTCTACAACGTTCACTGTAAGAGTAAAACGTTAAAAGTAATTTCATTTTTTTCACAATTTTAAGATGTTAAAATAACCATGATGTAATCTTGGAAAGATCTCTCCTACCTAATAGGCTACTTTTGGCCGATTTTGAGTTTTTTGGGTTGATTCATATACTGTGTTATCTTTCATGTTCGGCTTCTTGTACTCAAGGTTGCAGTTATGAGGTTTCTTCTTGTTGGCAACAGCAGTAAGTAGTTTATTTTCAGTGTGTATATCTCCTTGTATGGATACAGCTACAGGTTAATCTTATAGTCAGGAATTCCTAAACAGTTGAAAATAAAATGTGGTGGAAATTATAGGCCAAATTGAGGTGTATTACAATTTGAAAACTATGCAGTATTGATCTGCATTTGTCTAACGTGGGAGTTAACTCTTCCATCTTCTTAGTCTCCCTTTCAATCTTGTCCTTAAGGACTCTGGTCACTAGTCTTCCCACAGCAGATTAGAGGAGAATGGGAAAGATATGAAACCCTGATCTCTTTCTTGTGTCTCTGCCTGCCACTCTTACTCAGGATGAATAAAATAAACTGTTGCACTGGGGTGTCGCTCCAGTAAATATGTGGTAGGAATTCAAGTCAGACCTCTGATACAAGCTAGAGGATCATATCATTGCAGACATGCATGGTTCTAGTTCCACAATGAATGACTCAGAGCTATAATCCAGCCATGAGAATTCCAGAGTTTTCTGTTTATATTTCATGTGCATTCATTTAGGTTTAATGTTAAAGTCTAACTCACTAAGCAATCATGATTTTAGAGCTGCTTTGGACCCTGGAGATAAGAGTCTCAGAAGGGTTTACAGGGCAGGTGAGGAGGCGGGGTCTCTAGGTGCTCAGCCCACATTGCAGCAGCATCACCACCAGCAAGAGTCCAGCATCACAACAGCCCAGCAGCATCACCATCACGGCCAGCAGCAGCAACAGCAGCAGCACAACAGCAGCAGTAATAGAGACATCAGAGGTGGAGCCTGGAAGTGACAGTGACAGCAGTAGCAGCAGTGGTTTCAGAGGCAGCAGCAACAGCAGTGGTATCAGAGGCAGCTGCAGAGACAGTAGTGGCCCAGGCAGTAGTGGCAGTAGCATTGGTGTCAAGGGTGACAGTGGAAGCTGAAAGCCTTTAGATCAAAACCGAGTCTTGAGACAGTTTGTTAGCATTCTGCCTCCTTAAGCAAAAGGTCCCTTTGAGCTCCTTTACAAAAGTGTTAGCAGTATATTCTCTTGTTTGGTGGTTTTAGTGCTCTCTTTGTAGACATTACGTTGTGAAGCGACTGTTCACAGATTGCACTTGCTTTTAACCTCATTGTGAACTCCCAGTCATGGATAGTATAGCTCTTCTATACATAAAGATTTATTCTAGTGCTGGGAATGGTAGCCTAGTGATAAGGCACTTGCCTAGCATGGATAAGCTCCTAGGTTCCACCCTCAGCCCCATAAAGTCACTCATGTTAAGTTGATTTAGATATTAGGTACATGAAATAACATATTATGCATTTCTTTTCAGGAGTACGTTCGCCTCTTAGATGACTAAGCAGTTTCACAAGTAAACCTCCCTGCAAGTCTAACAGTAATAGGCTCGAATCAGAGGAAGTGGATTTTCTCCTGTTGCACAGCAATGATGTCTGCCTCCAGAGAAATGGATCGGGTTTGTATTTTAAATTGATCATCTCTGTTCTTTTCCTTGCGCTTTGGTTTTTGCTAAACCGAGTTAAAATGAAATGAATAGATAATAAGTGCAGTTTTGACAATGCTCTGTAAAATTTCAGTGAGCATTTATGTATAAATTTAAGAACATACACTTAACATTCTTTGGTACTCTGAAATCGGATTGCAAACAAATAGAGTTAATATAGACCTCAACTTTATGAGAATCTGACAAACAGCTTTTCAAATTGGTTTGTCTTTTAAAAATTTCTGTTGTATTCTGTTGAATTTCTTAATCTTTGAAGTTGAACACAAATGTAAATTATTAAAGTATATTTAATTTTGCAAAGCAGTGAACACGTTTATTTAGTCACATAAGAACATGTGTATTAATACCATTGAACTAATCTACGTAACTTTCAGCTTCTATCAACTGCTATGTTTTTCATCATTGGAGTCAATGCTCACTGTCAATTATTTAGAGCCATTTTGGGGAATATTTACTTGAAAACACAAGCTACCGTGTGAAGGTAAACTACTGTATTTTTGTAAGGATCATTATGTAACCCAGTTGTGTGTTACTTTAGTAACCTAATCGGTGGAAGGTAATCACATACAGAGCTATCAAGTCTGTTTACTTTAAAATCTCCTTGCCTCATTTCTTAGAATAATTATTTTGCAGATATATAGCAGTTATTTGTGGTGGCTTTTCTTCTTTATACCCTGTCTTATTTATTAATTTATTAAGTGTATGACGTGCTTGTGTTTCTTACCTGGTCCACATGGTGGCAGTGTTTGCTTAGGAATCAAAACTGATGCAATGCTCCCATCACAGTTTTGTTAGGGTTTTTGTTTGGGGGCTTTCTTTTCTTTTCTGTTTTTTTTCTTTCTTTCTTTCTTTTTTGGCTTTGAAAGCAGTTTCAACACGGAAGTCTAATGTCTCTGCCATTAAGGACAGGAGGTGTTAAACTCCATGGAACAGGGGGCTCTGGTGTAAATGAGAACATAGTTCTCCAATTATACTTTTTCTCTTGTTTCCTGAAAGACAGTGCTTGACATACCCAGGCTGCCCTTGAACTCACCATCCACCTGCCTTAGCTTCCTGAGTTTTGGTATTTCAGGCATGTGTTACCTTCCCTGGCTCACATATACCTTTCTACACAGACATGGTATTTAAAATTGGCAAAGATCCTTTAATAATACAACAAATTTTCAAAACTTCTAAGAAGTGAAATTAAAGTTCTCAGCTTTTCTTTTTGTTATTTTATATTTCCTTTTAATTTGCTAAGAAATCTTTCTTCTGTACAACTATGAATATCTCCCTAGAATGATTATATGCTCTATGAGTATGTACCAAACATTGCACATTTCAGTTATGTAAGTAATACCAAGCAACTAGTTGTCCCGTATATTGGTGTTTACTATTTTAATGAGAAACGCTTAAATTCCAACCACATTATGGAGTTCCTCTAAACTGACACTCAAGGACATGCTCTATCCTTAATCTCTTTAGACAGTGAAATCTTAGCCATTTTATATATTCCTTTTTCTTATGTATTAGGACATTCTGAAAAACTTTTTACTGGAATTCTAAATCTAGACTCTTCTGCTAAAGTCTTCTTTCCTTTATCCTTTTGCTTGACTGGCAGTTATTTCCATTCCTTGTAATGTGAATTTTTGTTTCATCTCTGCTTTAATCAAGACTCTTGAAATATTGGTGAAAATTGAAAAAACTTAATAGATAAGTATAAGTAAGGTATAATCACTATTTGATGTAACTCTTACTGAAATAAAGTATTTACTTGTGGTGTAAAAATTATTCTAGAGAGAACCTCACTCATCTGAAATTCGTGAAACTGAAGAACCAAAAGCTATTTCTGATATCTTGAACTATTGTCAGGTATGATACTTCTCTTTTCAGTGTGTTTTTCTAGAATGTTAAATTGTGAGCATCTTACCTTATATGAGGGGGGATGTATATAATTAACTGAAATTTTGTCATATCAAATTTCTTGTGATTATTCACCCCATTATGATTATTTTGACTTAGAATAATATTTCAGGTTAAAATTTGAAATATCATTATGTGTATTTTAGAACATTAAAAACATTATCAAGTTTAGTTGTGACTTTTCCATCTATGTTGCCCAATATTACTTTCCACTATAAAATTTTTAAAGGAAGATTTGGTTGCACTTTAATATATACCTAATTAATTACATATTAAGATATCACAAATATCACAACAGAAATGAAAGGGCAGCCTACTCGTGTTTTACAAAGTATTTATCTTATATAATTTTGAGGGAAGTCATACAAAATAGCTTTGGTGTTAGAGACTGGTAGAAGTATCTAATTATTGTGGATTTTGTGAGCTGTATACCTCAGAGGCAATGGCAGTTCAGATAAATGGTTCTTATCCCATGAGGTTTGTAGAATACACTGAACTAACATAGTTTGAAAAGTAAAAGTTTGTGTGTTATCTTTTAGACTGACACTAGTGAGCACAGAAGCCATGATGGCAGGTCTTGGTGTTAAGATTGTACAGGAGTAGCAGAGGCTGGACAAGGCCACCCGACCTGCAGTGCCCAAATCTTGATAACCCTGAGGGTGTTGTGTTCAGCCGGAGGACCAGTAATTATACAGGTTGCATGGGATAGGACAGTGTGGATGAACAATTCTTGGGTTCCCAAGCTGTGCCCCTAAGCGGCCCTTGAGGATCCTGCCACTTCACTCTCCTTATCTGTGTAACAGATAATAGTAGCAATATATACTCTCAGGACTTGAAGGCAGATGCAGGATTGCCTCAAGTTCAAGATCAGCCCAATCTATATAGTTAGTTTAAGGTCATCCAGGGCTACATAATGAGACCCTGTGCCAAAAATAAAAACACAGAAACAAAGGAGTCTCTAACTATTTGATGAAAATGTAAATTTTCACCCTCTTTTTTACGATTACAATATAATTAGATCATTTCCACCTTCCCTTTCCTCCCTCCAAACCTTCCCATATACCTCTTCTTGCTCTCTTTGAAATTCATAACCTTTTTCATCAATTGCTATTGCATTCATTCATTCATACATACATACATACATACATACATACATACATACACACATTCCTAAACACCTATGTTCAGCCTGTATAGTGTTACTGTGTACATGTTTTCAGTGCTGACAATTTGGCACTGAACAGCCTATTTATTAATTTGTTCTTCCTTGGGGAAGACTATTGCTGTCACTCTCAGTATTTCTTAGTTGCCTATAGTTCTTGCTTTAATTTTTAATTTTAGGAAAAATCTTATTTTATATATCAGTCTCCCCATTCCCTTGCCCTTCCATCCTCCCATGCCCCCCACTGACCCCTGCAACCCGCCCCCATCCACTCCCCCAAAATAGTGAGGCCTTCCACGGGGGATCATCAAAGTCTGTCACATCATTTAGGAGAGGGCCTAGGCCCTCTTTCGTGTATCTGGGCTGCAATAGTATCTATCCATAGGGAGTGGGCTCTTAAAGTCCATTTGCTCCACTGTTAGAGAGGTCCCATAGACTGCCCAGGCCTCCTAGCTGGCACCCACATTCACAGCCCTTGTGGGCATTCCCTCATCCACTTTGGCATGTTTATTGATATCCTTCTTGTTCAGCTAATGTTTAGATAATCATGTTGGTGAGACTTTAGGGTTGTTGTTTCTGGTATTACTAGGAGCCACAGTATCACAGCAAACTCCTGATCCCATGCTATTACAATCTTCCTGCCTCGTTTTCCCCAATGTTCCCTGAACCTTAAGTGTAGGAGTTGTTCTATAGATGTATTCATTGGGACTGGGATACCAAGAGCACATTTTGAGAACTGCTGTCCCAGGCCGCTTATCACTTGCTCTGCTGAAATGGTCACTTTGCTTGCAGCACTGTCAAGATAAGATGAGCATTTCTCCAGGACATGGGTTTCCTTTTGTTGGTTTTATTGTTTGTTTGCTTTTCATGGTTTTTTAAAGTTCATGGCCCAACACCTAACAAAAGCAGTTCAGACAGGAGGAAGGCATTCATCCTTGAATGAAGAAATGTTTATGGCATTTTATAAATATGTTCTCTGAAATACCTGAGCATTTCAAGAAAATCCTTCAGTATGTTATCAGTGATGTTCCTCATTGGTATGGCATGTAAGATGTACTCAATGACATTGTGAGACTATCACTGGATGCGTAACTTTTAGAGTAGTTCGGAGCCATAAATTAAAACACATCTGTTTTATTTGACTCTATATTCTTCTCAGTGGAACACTCACTATTGGTTCACAAGCTGTGGTGTGGAAGCTGACTCTTATTGTTAGCAGATTTGAATGCTTGCCTCCGGATTTAGCACCCTCTTCTATGGAAAGTGACTGCAGCACACACGGTTAGGAGGTTGTGAGGAGCTGTGATGCACTCATATTGTGGCACTGAAGATGCTTCCACAGGCACATGAATCAGCTACTGCAGTGACAGGCGGAGACTCAGCATCTCAGTCAGTGTCCTGAGTCCCTTAGAAGCAGGCCTCCCTCTAATAGAAAATGTGATGTTTCTGACCACTGGAGAACTTCCATTGTGCCTGACAGTTAACTCTTGGCTTTGTGCATTTTCACATGTGCTACTTTTCTTTTGAAACAGCAACTACTAATACCTTTCTTTTTATGACAGGTGGTATACAAAACTGTTCAAAACCTGGAAAAGAAGTTTGATGACATGAATGAAAAAGTAACAAAAATTTATCAATCTCGTGCCAGATCTTTCTGGCATTACCCTGTAAGTGTAAAGAAACATTATCACAACTTTGATAAATATATTTTGTCTAATAATGTCAGTCACTTCAAAGTGATAGAGATCTAGTAAATATGGGATTACCGAGGCTTACCTGTACTTCCTGGAGGGGCAGATGGGGACTACAACTCTTTTTGAAAGAATAATCAAGTTCATGATTAATGAATGCAGAACAATAAGTATTTTAAAATATATAATTAGGATGTATCTATAAAATATATATCAAATTAAATGTAGGTCAGAGCCGGGTGGTGGCAGCACACGCCTTTAATCCCAGCACTCAGGAGGCAGAGGCAGGTGGATCTCTGTGGGTTCGAGACCAGCCTGGTCTACAAGAGCTAGTTCCAGGACAGCCTCCAAAGCCACAGAGAAACCCTGACTCAAAAACCAAAAAAAAAATGTAGATCAGAAGAGGAAGAAAAATCATATGATCAAAAGAGAACATGTAAAATGAGTTGCATGGAAGCCTTAATGTCCTGACTACTCTTTTTCTCTTTTTGTTATGAAGCCTCATAGATCAGCAACCAGAAGATACAATTACCTGACACCTAAGAGACGTAAAATACAGAGACTGAGACGATTCATTCATGATAATTCTATCTCCTATCCTCAAAGTTACAGTTCAACTTCACCAGTCCGCACAAGGGATGGCGATAGCCAGGCTATGTGGAACAGCCAGACTACAGATTACACTCAGACTTTCCAGTATGCAGATGCTTTTGACAACACCCAAACTTTCCAGTATGCTGATGTTATTGACAACACCCAGGCTTTCCAGTACTCTGATTCTATTGACAACAGCGAGAGTACCCAGAACACTGAGAACAATACTGTTTCCCAGGAAGTAGTATTTACTATGTCTTCACCAGAGAGGGCCTATCAAGAAACTCCATCTAGTCCTACATATACTGCCCAAACCTACCAACAATATTACAAATTTAAAGACATTCCTGGGTCTTCTACAATGACATACTACAGCAACTTTGAAAATACCAACTCAGACACCATCACTTCTGCAGGTTCAACAGTGAAGGAAGCAAGTCCCCTCCCTCCAGGGGAGCTCATCCCCATCCAGAATCCTGAAATGAGGCGATTGGCCTTACTGGAAGCTCAGCGTGTACCTGTGATTGATCCTAACACTTTTGGTGAGTTTGGAATGGCACCAATGATTAACATCCTCAAAGTAAACTAGGAGAAGTTTCTTGTTTCCTATTTTGATGGTTGATTTGTAGTTATATGTACAATGGCAGCTGTTTATTGAGTAGGTATTATGAGTAAGGCAGTGTGCTAATAAACTAATATGAATTGTCTCTGGTGATCTTCATAATGACACCCTTATGCTATTGAAATCTACTTTCTTTATCTTTCCCCATAGTAAATACTCAAAATGAGCATAAGGTGGTAAGAAAAGATGTCCTTTTGGATAATTCACAAACAGAAAAAATGAGATTTATATTGATTCTCTTTGGTTAGGAAAAAAGACCCACCCAACAAATTACCAAATCCCCTTCATTTGTCACCACACATTAACTGTAGAGTGTCAAACATTCCGCTTAAGGTAATATTTGAACACAAAGAAGTTTCCATATAACTTAGTGAACTGCACAGCTAAAACCTGCTGAGATGTGAGAATTTACATTGTTTCATGAGTCATTTTTAATAAAACATATTCAACCAACACATTTATTGCTATTCAATTGAACATGAAAGAATAATTGCATAAAATGTCCAAACCACTATTGATTAGACTCATCAGAAAATATTTTATTAATTCATTTTAACATTTAAACCACAATAGATGTGAATTTAGAGTAAAGGTCAATCTAAAAATGCCATATTGAACATAAGGGAGAGATTTGCTTCAGAGAACTTATCTTGTTACCTAAGATAATTGTGGTTATTGAAATTAGTTCATAGAACTAAAAACTAAGCAATTATAAAGTGTAAGCTTGGGGGATTTCCACTGCATTTAATACAATAAACCTAATTTAAAGAAAAATGTTTAAGAGAGGTTTTCAAGAAGTTCGCTGAAACTCTGAAAGTGAGAATGTACTGAACTCAGTACAGCTCTGATTATCCCAATTTAATCTAAGTAGCACCCTTTCCTGAACTTGTTTGTGACCTAAGCCTTGGATTGCCACATATGTTTCATGAACATTGAAGCTTTTCAATGCCATCTAAAGTAAAGCTGTCCTGCTCTTTGGGGGAGGCCCATTGACACATTCTTATGCAGCACTCCTCAGATCTTCATTCAGCCTCTCACGAGATTTTACAGTTGGAATCTTGAGTCCTTGTTTAGGTAATTAAGAGAAGGTTCCAAGAGTGAGACCATTGCTTTCTACCTAACGTCTCTTCTTTTCAACATGCTGATCAGATTTAAAGAATTTTCCCCACTCATTTTTAACTGCAGGTTCATCATCCCAGTGCAATGATGCTGTTGTGAGACACCTTGGAAACCCTTTAAACTGGTCTGTGAATGATGTGATAACATTTCTGAACCGTCTAGACCCTCCGTTGGCAGACCAACTCTACACAACCATCAGAAAACATGTAATGTATTTTTAAGTCCAGTTTTCCTGCTACCTTAATGCCATTGAATGACCTCTGTGCTCTTTCAGTTGGATACTGAGGGACACCCTATCATCTGATTTAATTTTTTTGAAAATATTGTCTTGCCCATCCTTCTATGTTTAATGGTAGGCTAATCTTAAAATTGGTATGAATATATGTTTCAAAATGATGCACAATGATATTTTTAATAGTTTTTATACAGGAGATACATATTCAGAGACTTTATAATGAGAAGCTTTAGTTTTATATGTTCTTATATACAAAGAAACAACTGCTTATCAAATGTAACAGTGTTGTTAATCATTTTAAAATTTTCTCTCTATAGGATATCGATGGGAAAGCCCTGATGCTGCTCAGTACTGATGTAATGATAAAATATATGAAGGTGAAGGTGGGAGTAGCCATGAAGTTTGGGAGCTACATTCAAAAGCTTAAAGATGGAGTGAATTGTGGCCAGTAAAAATGTTTGTAGAACTTGAAATGTTCTCATAAATCCCTTATTAATGCACAGTTGACTCCCTATGCTCATTAGTTTTTGTTTTGGAGAAGGTTCTCCTAAAATATAACTAGAATTGAAAAAAATACATTATAGTTAAAGTCTGCTTTGAGGTACATTTAACGTACTAGTATTAACATACATATGTGACTTCTGTAGAGTTTTCATTTTATAGTTAAAAATAGGCTTGATCCAAGAAACAAAAAGCTACCTTTGATTTGGGTTTAACTTTATACATATCTTTAAAGCAACTAAAGATGAAATATAAGGAACTAACAACATATAATTAAAGTGATGAAATTTTTTCATAGAAGAGAAATTAAAGAATATGAAGTTACCCTTCTTGAATATTTTATCTGTACAATACTGTAGTATACTTCTTATGTTCTACCAGTTTTTAGAAAAAAAGAATAGCTATATAATTTATTCCCCTCTACTACTACATCTCTGTTATGATTATTCAGATTCAGAAGGATAAAATGAAGTTTATGAAGTGTCTAATGAGCTCCAGACAACTAAATATTTGAACAAGACTTTAGATAAATTTTAGAGGTACAGAATGTTTGTTTTACCTTATAATTGTAAGTCAACAGTAGTTTGGAATAAGGTTAACTATAGTTTTAACATGCATACTTACTAAATTAAAGCCTCCATGTTTTTAAAATCAAATTTGGGCACTTATCTAAGAATTCATTGTTCAAATGTCTATATGACAATACTCATACTCAAAAAATTTTGAAGATATGTATTTGTATTTTCTGTGCTTATTCTGTAAACTGTGTATGTGCCACTTGTCTCTACTATTCCTTCTCAGTTTAGCCTTCAGTTAGTCAGAAACTGTGCCAATGCTAGTTTCCACATATGTCTTGTGCCATATTTGTTCCCTATTGAAAAATACACTAGTCTGACATGTTTGGAAGTTTATTTTATAATTTAAAACTTTCAATAGAAACATGAATCTTTTGTTATTGCTTGTCATATTGTATAACTTTTGAAATAAGATAAATTGAGAATTGATACTAATAACTTTGGCTACTTGTTGAAAATGGTAATGATGTATTAACCAGGGGCAAGAATTTGCATTATTTCTTTAGAAAACAATGGGTACTAGTTACTGAACACAGGTGGTTTAAAGGATTGCTTCATTTATATTCCTGCTTATGTGTAAAGACATTCTAACTTCATGCATTACAAATTGTATAAAGATATTATGCACATTTGAACATCTTCAGATGCTTGAAAAACACTGTGTTGTATATTTTTCAGATTTCAAAATATAATAAAGCCAAATAACTATAAAAATTAATGGAAATGTCTCAGACTTTTTAAAATTGAAAATTCTTGCAATATATTCTGATCAACCCTTCATCTCCTTCTAGATCCTTCCCAGTCCCCACTTACCCACCCCTCCAAATCCATATCTTCTTTCTCTTTAGAAAACAACCAAGAAACCAGGATCAAAAACAACAGCAAAAAAGGACAACACACACACACATACACACACACACATACATACACACACATACATACACACACATACATACACACACACACACCCCATAAAAACACAAAATTGAGAACTACACTATACAAGCAAAATACCAGTAAGATAAAAATGACCAAGCAAAGCAATATTAGGGGGAAAATCTACAAAAAGATTATTATGTTTGTTTTGTGTTGACCATCTACTGCTGATCATGGGACCTTCCTTTATGTGTGGTTTATAAAAGCCAGTGAGACTCCTTTGAAGTAACCTGATTTTCCTTTGCAAGCATTTGTCAATTGGGAGATCTCTTTTTTGGTTAGGGGTGGAAGATTCCCCCTTCTTGGCACTGGGACCCCATCTGGGATGAACCTATTCAGGTCTTGTGCATGCTGCCATAGTGTTTTGTGGGTTTGTGTGTGTGTCAGTTCTGTTGTATCTGGAAGACAGTGTTTTCTTGGTGTAATACATTTCCTATGGCTCTTACAATCTTTCTGCTTCCTCTTTCACATAGCTCTCTAGAGAGAAGGCTTTGTTGAAGACATCCCACTTAGTATGGAGTGTTCCCAAGTCTCATTATGCACATTTTCCAGTTATGGGTCTCTGTATTAGTTCCCATCTACTTCAAGAGGAAGCATCTCTGAGGATGGCTGAATGAGACACTGAACTATGGCCATAGAACACTCATTAGGAATCATTTTATTGCTTTGATCCTTTAGTAGAGCAATTGTATTTGATGTTCTCCTTGGCCCTCCTAGTCTTAGTTGTGTGCATGGGAGACATTGAGAGGCATCCTGGATGTCCACCTCGCAAAGATTCAGAATCTTGTACCTGGAAGACAATAACTCAATCTAGTGATGCCCAGATGGGTGGTCTGGTGTAATTGATGTACCAAAAACTGAGGACTGCAAGGGAGGATAATTTCTTGAGTCTGGCAAGTTACACCATCCGGTTGGATCTTGTTTCAAATTCCAAGAATGGGCCTTACTCCCTTGTTCCTTGGAGTTGTGCATCTGGAAAGGCAATGAGCGAGACAGAAAGGGGTTCCTCAGGCATCGCTACTGTTTGTCAGGCCACCTGATCTCCCCTCCAATTTCCTTTAGCTTCAGGTGTGTTGGCTGCTTGGTGTTCCTTGATGGATAACAGCTACATCCTTGGGGAGCCAAGCCACTTCAAGGAGAGAATTTCCTCTTTAACAGTTTTTCCTTCAGCAATTACTAGGTCTTTTTCCTTATAAATAATGGCATGGACATGAACAGTAGCAAAGGCATACTTGCCTTCTCTATACATATTTATTCATTTGTCCTTTCCCCAGAATAGAACTTGAGCAACAGCAATCAACTCTGTTTTGGGGTTGATGTACCCTGTGCCAAGGCTTGTGTCCATATGATGATCCACTGGGTACTTATTGCTGCCCCACCTCTCCTGACTCAGTTGATGGCCAGTCTACATCCATAGGTAAGTAGATCACCCTCTGCCTCAGGCAGGAGAGTGTCGAGAAATTCTGGGTTACTGGCCTGAAAAATGTCCAACAAGTCTTCACAGTCATGGGGAGGCACCTTAGGCATCAGAGAACAGGACTGAAACTGTACCGAAATGAAAGTGAGACAGGACTGGTAAGTAACAGACTTGATATTGAGTGACAAGGGCATTTGTCATTCACTGGTCATTTGACCCTCATAAAAGGGTTTCCAGAGCATGGGAACCATTAGAGTCAGATCCTGCCTCAGCATGAGCTTGTCAGCTTCCCTTACTAGTACAGTGGTTGTGGCTCTGGTAAACAAACAGGATGACCAATGGGAGGCATCCTTGGACATATATGTTATATCACTGCCAAGATTCTAGGGTCTGAGTTAAAATTCTCTTTGCAGTGCCCCAAATTTCAAGGATGAAAACATGGAACAGTTTAGTAACATCTGGTAGAGTCAAAGCCGGGGCTCTAGTTAGAAGCCTGCTTTAGTTCTTGGAAAGTTTGTTCTTCTGTTTCAGTCCAATTCAAAGGCTATCTTCCACACTGAGAGAATAAAGTGGCTGGGCTATTTTAGCAAACCCAGCAAGCCAGAGCCTGCAATATCCCATCACCTACAAGAATTCACATAGCTGTTTCTTGGTTTGTGGGCTGGGATCCAGAAGAAAGCTTCCTTCTGGACAACACTGAGAGTTCTCCTACCTTGACAGAGCTTTTATCCCAGAGAAGACCTCTGTCTGGCAGGGCTAAGCCTTTTTTTGTGAAGATACAATATCCCAATGTCTACTTCGAGTGTGGCCAGTAAAGGACCATCTACATACTGGAACTTAGTGGAATCAAGGTGTGGCACCTAGTCCTGTTCAGTATTTGTATGCTTCTCTAAAGGGCAGTGAGATTTTTGAACCCTTGGGGTACTTATGTCCAGAGTAGCTGACTAGTCTCATTGGCCAATGGATCAGTCCATTCAAAGACAGAAATGGGCTGTCTCACTGGTGCCAAAGGAATGAAAAAGAAAGCATCTTTAGTGTCCAGGACCATATAGGCTGGTACTCCAGCAGGAAGGAGACTGGGTAGAGTGAATTTATGAATTTGGAACAGTTGAGTGAATGATTTCAATCTGCTTATTTATCTCCCAAAGATCAGGGACTTGCCAGTAACCTGGGGTCTTTGGTTTGAAGACAGGCAAGAAAGACATATTCCAAGCCAACCAGCAAGGAACAGAGATGCTAGCTTCCTATAGCTTCTTAATATGAGAGCAATTCCCAATCTAGTCTTTTGGTTCATGGGATATTGCTAGACCCTTATGTTTGTAACTGCAGCCAAGAGACTCACCATGGTTGGTGGGTCACCAGTGTGCTACAAAAACTGAGGATTTGCTTCTGCCCATACCTTAGGAAACAGTCAATGCAACTCCTGGGGCAGGATCCCTGGTTCTGGATTTGCTTCCTTGGTAGAATCTGGAAGAGCTAGAAGACATTCTTCAGGTAGAGGGGCAATTGAGGTAAGCTGGTAGGAAGCTGTAAGGAAAGTTTAGGTTTTGAGGAGTAAAGGTCATGGTGGTATACTGTTTTCAAAGAGGATCTCTGCTTAGAAGGGAGGAAAGGGCAATCTGGAACTACCATGAGGGAGTGAGTCATCTGTGGCCCAGGTGTTCTTTCAGATGTGAGGTGATAGTACTTAGTCATGCCTGTATCTTCCTGTACTGGATTCCTTTTGTTTTTTTTTTGTTTTGTTTTGTTTTGTTTTGTTTTGTTTTTTCGAGACAGGGTTTCTCTGTGGCTTTGGAGGCTGTCCTGGAACTCACTTTGTAGACCAGGCTGTCCTCGAACTCACAGAGATCCACCTGCCTCTGCCTCCCAAGTGCTGGGATTAAAGGCATGCGCCACCAACGCCCGGCCTGCCTTCCTATACTGTACTTCCTCTACTGTTCTTTTTATTTGTAACCAGCCCCATTAGAGCTTTAAAAACAGAAACCCCAATATCTAATAAAATATTAATTTGATGATCTCCCATTGACACAGTAATCAAGGAATCTTGGAACCTAAGAAAGTAGAGCCTCAGGTCCTTCATTCTGGTTCACTATCCACCTCCCTTGTGGTCAGGAAGGTGATTGCTTTCCTGGGCTTTGGATGACTCAGGCATTATTCTTTCAGTGTCCCCTTTCCTTAAAATAAGCACATTGATCCATTTTCAGTGGGGACTTCTCCACCCTCCTCATTTTTGTTTTGGGAGATCTAGTCTCAGGACAAGCAGTAGGGAGCTTGGGGTTAGTTGACTGGAAAGCAGCTCAGGTGGCAGTCAGGTGGTGTCTCTGTTTTTCAGTAGGTCAGTTACTGAAAACTTTTTGAACCATTCCAATGAGCAGAGGGGTAGTCATTCCAGCCAAAGCCTCTAGCTTTTGAAGATTTTTTTTGTGAATATCTGGGGCTTATTGAATGACAAAAGAAGAATTTAGTGCCCTAGTGGTTTTCAGAGCTAATGAGTCAAAGGGTGCAAAGTAAATGCAGAAAGCTTTTTGTGTTGCGGAGGAGTTTTGTGACCCCTAGGAAAGGACCATAGACTCAATCCAGATTATAGTTAGTTAGATTTATTACAACTGTTAGCAGGACAGTAATCTCTGAGCCAAATTTGAGACTGTTATGAGAAAGGGAGTGAGGGGGAGATTTTAAAGCATGAAAGCACAAGAAGGCCTTGAGTATCTTCACCAGCTGTCTGCTCTGCCAAGATCTGGTCGTCAAGGTGACCTCAAAATAGTCCTTGAATGTCTGCATAAGCAGGTTACAGAAGCCAAAAAGCAGTTAGTCATAACAGCATGTAGATAGTCACAGCTGCACATTTTTAGGTGGGAAAGGAGTCACTGTGTCGAGGTTCCTGGAATTTATCTTCCAGGGTCTTATTTCAGAGACAAAGGGCTACCAGGATGGATGCCTAGCATAAAATGGATTTTTAGAAAGCTGTCTATATTGTAATCACTCAAGAAATACGTTGGGACTACTCTGGGCCCTAGAGAACCTCAGTAGTCTTAGAAAAATTAGTGGATTTTTGAGCTAGGCCCAAAATTCATAAAGTGCTGGTAATGTTTCCAGGGCCTGGGAATTCCAATCAGGGCATTTACATGGGAAAGCTACGTCAATATCTGTACCGGTGGCTGAGATAAAAAATGCCTTCTTTGCCTCTTCTTCAATATGCCCCCTTTCCTCTGAAGTAAACACAATCAGAAAGAGTTGCTGGCATTCATCCCAGGGTGGACAATGGCTGTTGAGGACAGGTTTCAGGAGTTAAGGCTTTGGGCTTGCCAGAAAAGGGAAGGGTTGGGTTTTCCAGCTGTA